CTTTCAGACAAATTTCACAGAGTTCAAATTTACACATATACTGATGCTTTAAATGATTGTTGAAATGATGTTTTAATTTTAATGTTTTATTTAAGTATGGAGTGATAAATAGATTTGGAATAAACAAATGCTGCTCATAGTTAAAGAGCAACTTCCAGTCACCTGTGGTGATAAGGCAGAAACCTAAAATTTGAGGTAAGGAAAGAGTACCCTATAGAGCTCTACTTGAAATTTATCCACGTCAGCATAAATCCATCCACATGTCCTATATCTAATTTTCACATTTCTTCCATATCAATAGCATTATTCAGAAAAAGTGTGAGCCACTTGTGACTAAACAATGTTTTGGAAAGTAAATTAAATCTATTTTTAAAAATTGTGTCTCTATAGGAGGAAGAAGAGGAACCTCTGCCTAACAAGAAATGGCCGACTGTGGATGCTTCCTATTATGGTGGTCGAGGGGTTGGAGGAATTAAAAGAATGGAGGTTGGTATCTTAAAAAAAATAGATGCTGTTGAACTGGAATGTGTATTTCTAGGACTATGAAGCCATGGAAACTGTACTTTTCACAATTCAATATTATAATATCTATTTTTACTTAACACTGGGTCTTTTTTTTTTTTTAATGGAATCATCCTACCCATTTCAAAACTGTTCAAGAAGGGCTGGTTTCATTAGTCAAAGGACTGCATTGATAAGACCTCTGAATTCTAAAGGACAAAAAATGCTAGTGTTTTTCTCACTATTTTGGAAAAAATTACTGCATTAACATTGAAGAAACCAGCCACTTAAAGTTGCAACAATGCTCTTCCTTGAAAATATCCAATGGTTTTGTACTATTTGAGGAGAAAATGTTAAAATATTCAATAGTATAAATATGACCTTATTACAAATATAGAGGAAGCACATTCAAGACTTTATAACAGCGGGGTTTTTTTTTACCACTTATGAACTATCATAATTAATATTACATATCATTTATAGAATGCATTGAACTTTCAGACTGGCTCTAAGTGTGAGTTAAAATTGAGCTTAATATTATATTTTAAAAATCAAATGAAGTTTTATCACCATGAAATATTTTTCAAAGGGATGGATTAATTAATAATAAACAATGATTGCTAGCACTGAGCCCTTAACAGTATAAACAAGACAGCATCCCATTCCAAGGAGAATTTAAGGAATTTTCTCATTGATACATTGGCTTTATTATTATACACACATGCTTATTAGTTATCTTTAATTTTTATTAAGGATAAAATATTAGTTATCTTTAATTTTTTTCCTTGATAAGAAGGTGTTTTTGTATATTTTGTAATCATTACATAGGTCTCCTACTATCAAATCTGCTTTGTCCCACTACTGCCAGCAAAAATCAGTAAGCTAATTAACAACCCCACAAGTGTGGAAATTTTCTTTTTTTATATATTTCAATAAAATTCACATTCCCAAGGGGAGTTTCCCCTTTTTGGAATAAATTTCTTCAAAAAGAAAGTATTCTTCAAAAGAAGCCCAGACATACTTAACATGATTGTCATTACCAAAGTGTTTATTCAGTTCATCTGACAGTGATTCTCACTTTCCCAACCACATTAGATCTTAAAACAATGCACATTTTCCCTAAGAGTTTGCCACTTGACTGCTAAAATGTCCTATGAGGCAGGTAACTCATTACGAAGAATACGCTGTGTTGAAAGGCAGAATGTAGAAGTTATTAAGTTGGTCTTTGGAGAAGATAATTCATATGTGTGTACACATGAATGAATGGGAATCAACAGTACAAGAGAGTATGGTTAGGCTAGTTGTTGTTGTTTGACACAGAAGAAAAGTTATTTTCCTTCCACTTGCCTTTGTTGTGTCATTCTAGGCTTGAAGAGATCAGGAAAGAATGGATTGGATGTTCCAATATTTATATAAAATGCACTTGTAAATAAAATTGTTACATACAAATATCCAAATACGACCTGTCACAACTTATTTTTAGTTTATTTAGCCCCATTCCAAAATGTGTATGTAAAAAGATGTATGTAAGGGAAAAATGATTTGATAGTATATGTCGAAAAAGTGGGTAGTTTCCTCTGGATGGAGTAATTTTCAATTTGTGCTATTTATGTATTTCCCTATTTTTTAAAAAATGTATTTGATAGTGAGCATGTACTACTTTATATTCAGATGATAAATCTGATTTTATTATGAAATCTACACATGTGAAATACAACATGAAAACGAAGTAAAGATATATTAATAATATGTGAGCCTTAATTGAATAAATAATGTTCTTGCCAAAAACGCTAGGAATAATGTCAGATTTTTGTTAATACAATATTCCAGTGTTCTAAAGACAGAGATCTCTTTCTAAAGAAAACAAAAGAATATTCATGAGCCCCTGAATGGGTCCTGAAGTAAAAGGAATATTATTGGTTTATACCCACGAGAGCCAAGAGCACCTGCATATCCCAGAGTAATCTATAATTCAAGTTTCAAGGGTTATTGATTCTTAATAGGTAAAATTGTATTATCCATCCATCCTTTTCAGTTGAAGAAAATTTGCAAGAAGGACTCAGCCAACTTTTAATAAATCTGGGTCTATTTTAGCTTTGAATAACTTTGGCTACATTGTGTGGAATATTGCACCAATGAGATGAAAATGGGAATGAGAAAAAGAATGAGAAAAAAATGGGAAGGCAAATATGGACATTACAAAGGGGAAACAAAATACAAAAAAAAAAATACACAATAAAAATTGAACCAAGAATTTAGCATTATTAAACTTTCTTAAACATGACTTATTTAAATTTGAAGAGGAAAAATAGAAAACATAATCTGTCTTAAAAGCATGCCTATTCAAACCTGGAAAGTACTCTTCTCTCAAAAACAACAACCACCACCATCTTAAACTGGGGAAAGTAAAAGGAATTATAGAAATCATGAGCACATTTGAATTACAGAACAAATCTTCATAACTAAGGTTATTTTAAGCCCATATAGAGATTTTACCTAGAATTTTTTTATCTTCCTCCTCTATATTAAATATTTAATAATGGTAATGGGAATTTGCAGAAAGCTGGGACTGAGCTGATGCTAATAACAGCTGTTAGCACAACTGATCCACAATACCTAATGACTTCAAGTGTGTTTCTGCCAATTCAGTGTGACACTGTTTTTGTTTCTTTTCTTGATTCTGAAATTGTTCCTCTATGATATAATCTCCTAGTCATTCAAGTATGCTCTGGAAATTTTCATTGCTTATAATAAAAGCCAAGTGGAGTTGGAAGAATTTAGCTATCAAGCTTACACCTATTTTTTTTAAAGCAAGATACATTAATTCTGCTAAGGCTCCTGTTAGCAAGCTATTTTTGTTATTCTTGTGTGCTTTTTATCTATCTCATTGTGGTCAAACTAAAACATTAAAATTTACACGCATGTATGTGTGTACATACTTAACTGCTTTTAAGAGTTTTCAGAAGACTCTATGAAGTATTTCCTAGTTTCAGGCTTTGAGACTCAATAAAGGAGAATTGTCTGTGGTGGCGTTTGTGGTGATGGTGAAGACAATGTTGAAACAGCTCCTTCATGAACTAACACTGGTGAATTTACTTAATGGATCTTCTTTAGATGTCAGCAACTGCATTTCATAAGTGTAGTGCTTTCACAGTTGAGTCCCTAGAAATGCCACATTGAGTCAGAACTCTAGTTCAACTGGCTTCATATTCTTTATCTGAGAATGGTTCCAGCCAGTGATACTTGAAAGAAGATTATGATTATCATTATCTCTACAGTATCAACTGTGAAGGATAGACTAGGGAGCTGTTTTTGTTAACATCTATCATTTCCAAATGGATCTCAGTTTTATCTGCTTACATTTCTACTCTGAATTACTTATCTGAGTTATGACATTTATATATTTACTTAACTGTGTATCTTCTTCTCCCCCCCCCCTAAAATGGAGACAACTACAAGCCTGTGTGTCCTGGTTTAGCTATATTTAAAGATTTTGTAAGTATTAGTTTGTCTAGGTGAAGACACTGTGATTTGAAAGAGAAGGTCATTTCTCTGGAAAGAAAGCCAACTATCTAGCTCTAAAGGTTTAATGGTGTTTAAAACAATTTTAACAACCTCATAAAGAACATTCCAGTACCATTGATCACACTGAAAGATACAGATACGTTTTAATGACTCAACAGGGTCCACTTGAAATTGAAAGCCCATTCTAAAATTGTAGTAAAAGAAGGTAAAAAAAATATCTAAGTAAGCCTTATCAAGAATCTGTGAATAGTTCTTCCTATGAACGGTTATCATCCCCTACCCACTAACTCAGGTTATTAAAATGCTTTTAAAAGTCTTTAATTTTTTCTCCTTTGTAGAAATCACTTCACTGTGGTGTGTCGTAGTATGCCTTGGATAGATCTTTGTATTTCTTTTTAGAGCTTCACTTGTCTTATCTCTGTTGTCTTTGGTAATGTCCTTGGTTTTCGTAGGTCTTCCCCACTGCTCCTGGTTGAGCAGTGCCCTTCTCCAGGTGCCACACCCTATTCATGTGCCCAGTTTGGCTCAGATTTAGCCCCTAACTCCTGTTCCTTGAAAAATGAAGAAAACAATAATTTGATCTTGTGGTTTTTCAATGTCAAGAGTTTTCAGAGAAGGAAATTCCCTAAAATTTGTAGAATTCCCTGATGTCCCTGAATTGTTCTCTTCAAAGCAGAGTCTTTTCAGATTTGCCTATCTCAGTGAAAAATTCATCTGTCAAATAGCCATATTCAGATGAGCAGAGGAACTAAAGACAAATCTATTTTACAAAGTAAAACTTTATAAAAGTAAAGAAACTCATATATAATTATTTTACTCCCAAAGGCTAAATGTTTAAATGATACTTTTTGCCCTAATCATACTTGTTGAAATGTTTAGAAGGAGCAACTCCTTTATGTAAAATACATTTGTAAAATCAAATTGAAACTTATTAGCCCATTTCAGAGTGCCTATGTTCAAATCCCTGCTGTGCTACTTACCAGCTGTTTGGCTTTGGGTATGTCACTTAACTTCTCTGTGCCTCATCTGGAAGGAAAATTTATAGTATCTAGTATCTATCTCATTGTATTTTTATATGAATTAAATGTAGGCTGACACATAGTAATCACTCAATAAATGCTAATTATCATCATTATCATCTATTTCTTCCAGTGTCATCAGTACATACAGATATGTGTTCAGCTAGCAGGGGACCATATCTAATTAAAGGATAGAATTATACTGTCATGAATTTCATATGTAAATCACAAATTGATGCCTTATTTGAAACTATGGTGAAATGGTTGCTTCAAGTTTAATTGACTCCAGATTTTTACAAAGGGTCTTTTTTTCTAGGATCTTAATATTAAATACAGTAAGGAGTGGTCAGAAACCTATCAAATCTCAGAAGAGGAGAAATTAGGAATTTGTATATCTACTCAAATTTTTACTGTGAGATGGTGAACCAGAGGCCCATAGGCTAAATAAAAGCTCGTTCCTCTAGGACACTATGTCTCATAGCTGTGATCTCCCTTTTGTTTTAAAGGTCCGTTGGGGTGATAAAGGATCTACCGAGGAAGGCGCAAGGCTAGTGTATATCTACTCAAATTTTTACTGTGAGATGGTGAACCAGAGGCCCATAGGCTAAATAAAAGCTCGTTCCCCTAGGACACTATGTCTCATAGCTGTGATCCCCCTTTTGTTTTAAAGGTCCGTTGGGGTGATAAAGGATCTACCGAGGAAGGCGCAAGGCTAGAGAAAGCCAAAAATGCTGTGGTGAAGATTCCTGAAGAAGCAGAGGAACCCATCAGGCCTAGACCACCTCGACCCAAACCCACATACCAGCCTCCTCAGACAAAGTGGTACACACCAATTAAGGTACTGTCCAAATTTAAGGTAACTTAAACCTGCTAGAGAAAGTGTAAACTTTTTAGTCCCCTTCCCCACAACTATTTGAAAGAGGACTAAGGTAGATCAAATAGCAGATATTCATCTTACACTCTAACAACTGAATACTTTCTCAGCAGTAAGAACCTCCACATTTTATTTATTAACTTATAAAAGAAATGAAGGTAGCAAATAAGACTTTACCTTCATTTTATTTCTTTGTTTATTCAGTAAATAGAAGTTGAGTACATTCCCTGGGAATTTACAAATTCCATTTCTTTTTAGGGTCGTCTTGATGCACTCTGGGCTTTGTTGCGGCGGCAGTATGACCGGGTTTCCTTGATGCGACCTCAGGAAGGAGACGAGGTTTGTATATGAGAATATGTTCAGAAAGAGCTGACTGCTTGGGTCACAATAATAGTGGTAGTGAAATATCAGTCAAAAATAATGTTAATACCCTTATTATATTTGAGGAAGGAATTATTATTGTCTAGTGCAAGTTCCTGTTACAGAGTGCTCAGTAAATTATCTGTTCCCAGGATGCATCTTCAAGCTACAGTTTCACACAAGTCCTTTTTCAGGTAATTCATAAAAATTATGATCATTTGGACACATACCTTTATAAGCACACTCATTGTTTCAGCCTATGACTTTGAAGATACCAGGGTTCTGAGGTTTTGCCTGGCAGGAATGACAGGCTGGGAATTAGTAGCTGAAATCTTTTTCCGGCATTTAGTAGCAATGAAGCCTAGGGAAAATGCCTCAGAACCTCAGTTTTTTAAGGTATAAATATGGTCCTTGCCTTCAACACTTTTTGTAATATAATTTCTTAAATATATGAAAGTGTCTTTAAAGTTATAAAGCATTATAGAAATCTGTGATTGTGATACACATACAAACATGCGCGTGTGCGCGCGCGCGCACACACACACACACACACACACACACACACACACATAGATATTTTCCTCACCAAGGAAGCCTATTTGAGGCTTTTTTTTATCTTGGAAATTTCGCGCGCGCGCGCGCACACACACACACACACACACACACACAAACACATAGATATTTTCCTCACCAAGGAAGCCTATTTGAGGCTTTTTTTTATCTTGGAAATTTGGACAGAATTACTCTGGTTTTATAATTTCTTTAATATATTAGCAACTATTTCCTAGTGTGTCAATGTAAGAAAAATTGTTTAAAACCTCTTCGTATGTAATGATCGGTAGGTTTGTTTCAGAGACACAATACTGTTCATAATACTAGGATTTTGTTTCATTGTGTGTCAATGTGATCATTATTGTGTTTTAACTTCATGTGTTTTGGCTTTAGAGGACTTTAGGATCATTCAGGTCTGATATGCTATTTTTTTTTTAAGAGCGAAATACTTGATGAAATTAGTATTTATCTTACAGTGCCAAGCTAAATTGGTGTTATTTGGTTTTAGCTTGGTATTTAAAATACAAAAGAATCTAAATCTTCAAATTTTACTTCTATGAAGTGGGGATAATTTTGAAAACATCTGAGTTTAATAATTAAGAAAATCTAAATTGAGAAAATATTCCTGGAATTTTTCCAACAGATCATCATTTATCCTTTGCTAGGACCATAGGTAGACAGAAGTAGGTGGTTTATGAAGCAGTCTCCTTTATTATCAGATCACTGTGGTTCTCAGTAGAAAGTTCTTACATAATGAAATTTGTGCTTCTGTTTAAATTCCTATGTGATCTGCAGTTCTGCTTCTGTAGGAACATATAATAACTCTTTCTCTTCAACATGCTATGCATTTACTTCATGTGTTTTAAAATTGTTTTCATGCATTACCTTAGTTCTCTCTCCCCCAGGTTAGACAATAGTCCGTATGTTCAATAATTTTCACCTTATTAAGTGCAGGGTATTGAGCTGATGACGTATTAGCCAGCAAAAATAGATGATGGCCCTAACCTCTCATGCTGACACTTAATATTATTTTATGATTAATGTATAAATATATTGATATATTTTTTATAATATATTTTATCATGATTAATATTCAGTTTTTAGCCTTTCATCATTCCTACTAGTTTTGATTCAATTCAGTAATTTTTGGATTATAGATATGACGCAAGCCCTCTTGCCCGGGCCTGGGCGTTTCTGTGCATGTGGGATTGGCATTCTGTGCTGCTCCTGGTGTCTCCATATCCATGCACACTTTCTTGGTCATGGAGGCAGGGAGAGGAAGGGAGAGGCAAGTACTGGTAATTAAGTACTTCCAGGCCCAGAACCGACATATCACTTCCACTCACATCCACTGGCCAGAGCAAGTCGCACAGCCCTGTCTACTCAAGGGAGCCAGGGAGTACCGTCCTCTCAGGTAAGCACAATATGGGGGCCCATGCTGGTGAACAGCAGCGCTATCGGGCATGGGTCATTCCATTGCTCTTTAACTCTATAGAGACCACTCTGGTACAGCTCCCTCTGGGATCCTCTGGAGAAGGACCTTCATTCTTCCAAACCCCAGAGCAGTTATCTAGACATACATCCACCATAGCAGTGCCTCATGGCAGCTCTGACCCCAACCTGCCCCACCCCAGGCCTGGACAGACACATCTCACTCAAAGCCATGTTTCTGGGCCAGGTGATCTAGGGAGAAACTGTAGGTGGCAAAGAAAATAGCAGACGCTACGCCCTACAGAGCTCTAGCACATAGAGACTGGGAAGGTGAGAAGTCCAGGAAAGGGCAGTGTGGACAGGCAGCTGGGGATATGGGGAAGGAAGCGAGCTCTGTCAAGGAGGTGCTGAAATAGGTGTTTCAAAGGGGAGGGAATGACCCACCTGCTAGATGCTCTTCCACAATGTGACCTTGACACTCCCTCATCAAGTAGAATGCTTTCCTTTCTTCCCTTTTACCTTTCTTTCATTCAACCATCTTCCTATTTCCACTTTGTTTCTTCTTAAACACATTTATATCCACTATGCTTCTATTTCAGCTTTGTGAATTTCTTATACCAGTTTGTACCTTTCCTTGTTATGAGAGATTTTTTCTTTTTTTATTATGAATATTCATGAGATACAAAGCCAATTGTCACCCCTCGTGCCCATGATGTGAGGGCCAGATTCCTACTGGCAGCATACCCATTACCAGAAAATGCATTTGTACCCTGTGTCCCCCACCCAATTATCCCCAACCTCCCTCCCCCTCTCCCTTTCCTGCCCACTGCTCTTTGTAGCCCAAGGAATGTTCTCTCCCTCTACAAGACCAATGCATTACTGTGGTCTTTCTTTCCTTCCTTCTTTCTCTCTTAGCTCCCACATATGAGTGAGCACATGTAGTATTTATCCCTCTGTACTTTGCTTATTTCACTCAACATAAGTTTCTCCAGGTTCATCCATGCTGTTGCAAATGGGAGTATTTCATTCTTTTTTATGGCAGAGTAGTATTCCATGGTGTATATATATCACAGTTTCCTCATCCAATCATCCATTGATGGACACATAGGTTGGTTCCATGTCTTGGCTATTGTAAACAGAGCTGCGATGAACATGGGAGTGCATTTCTTATATACTATGCTAATTTCCAGTTGGTGTCCTTTGAATGAACGAAGCCTTCAGTTGCCCCATTCTTATCCTCATGAGCACAGTACATATCTGTGATACTAGTGCCAAAAGAAATATGCACCAATCATAGAACACTTAATTATAGTAAATATTTTGGTGGCTTTTATTTAAAACTCTCCACAATAACTGAAATACAACAAATACAAGGGTACTTCAAAACATTCATGGAAAGATGTGTATTATCTTTCAATTCTCTTTTTTCCATGAACTTTTTGAAGTATTCTCACATTATTCAAAAAAGTAATATTTTTTTGTTTAAATAAAATCATATTTGTGTGGTGCAGTGAGATAATCTGTAGTGAGACTGTAACATCTCACAAATTTTATTTCTATTTTATAAAAAAGAGCACATAATATTTCTTAAACTCTAGTTCTTTTTTGTTTCAAAGTATCTTTCATTTGGGAAACTTAAAGTAATTTACCTAGTAAGAAAATGATGACCCAGAGGTAGGAAGAGTATCAGGGATTTAGAGTATATTTGGGACAGCCAATTTTGATGTATGATATTAAAATGGATGATCTGCTTTGGTAATGCTTTATGCATGAGGAAAAGACCATCGTTAAGTGTTAGCTTCTACTTACTGTGGCTGGTTAAGCCCTCAAAATTTAAACTGACTGAACCTTATGGTTTTTACCAATTTAGTTTGTAAATAATGGTTTATCTCATAGGATTACATGGAGTATAGAAAATTAAAATTCAGGAGACTAAGATGTCCAAGTGGTAGTGTCCTCTCTCTCTGTTACACACACACACACACACACACACACACACACACAAATGAGGGTATTTCAAAAAGTTCATGGAGAGATTCATATTATGTTTTAATTCTGTTTTTTCATGTTTTCCTTGATTTTTTTGAAGTACCTTCATATATTTATACTTGCTTGAAGAAAGGGGAAAATGAATTTACCATAAAGTGTGTGTGTGTTGTTAAGTTTTCTAGGTATTTCAGGGTGTATTAGTTCATTTCTGTTGCTCAGAACAGATTATCTGAAACTGGGTAATTATAAAGATCAAATTCATTTCTTACAGTTTTGGAGGTGGGGATGTCCAAGGTCCAGGGAACACATATGATGAGGACCTGTTCCTGGGTGGGAACTCTTTACAGATTTCTGTAGCAACCAGAGTGTCATATAGTGAGAATGGGCTGAGCAAGAGAGCTAACTTGCTCTCCTTATAAAGGCATCAGAACCATACCCATTACTCCATGACTGGATCAATCTATTTGTGAGAGCACAGCCCTCACAATCTAATCACCTCTTAAAGTCCCTACCTTTGAAATTCCTTAATTGGATTTCCTACCCTTTTAACACTGTTACAGTGGGAGTTAAGATTCTAATATATGAACTTTTGGGGGACACAGTTAACCTATAGTGCAGGGCATAATCATTAAATGAGAAAAATCAGTCTTGGAGTTCTTGTTAGCTTTAGATAACCAAACTCACCTGTGACTGGGTTCCACAGCACAAGGGTAGAGTCCTGTTATTTGCAAACTTAGTCTCCGGAAACCAATCAGTACTTGATTAAAATAAGTTAAGCATCGAACTCAGACTAATTTATTAAAGATTTCATATATATGTATTAGAGATGTTCATTGTCCTTTGACAATCTTTATCTCTTTTATATCAACAAATCAATTTCCCCAGTAAATTATCCCATTAAATGTTAGAAAATTTGTAAATAGTATTGTATCAGCTTACATTAGATACATTGATTCTCTCTAAAAAGGTTTGTGCATAGCAAATAATTCATTGGAACAAATGTTATT